TTTTTATTGCTTATAAAAGCACATTTACTGGTACATGCTAGTAAATAAAAGCAAGCAGCCTATCGGCTGAGATAGCTCCGCTGTTAACAAGGCACATTTCAATTAAAGAACTGAAGATATCATTAGAAAATAAACAATATGTATAGTATGTATAGCAATCGGACTTGCTGTTTTCAACAAGAATTCAAAAATATCACTTTTTACCAAAAATGACATAAATATTCACCAAAATTAGAGAATTGAAGATATCATCATGAAATGAAAAAATCTGAGAGAGGTCTACACAGGGTACATATACACCAAGTATCAAAGCATTCAGGCTTACAGTTTTCAAGAAGAAGTCGAAAAAGTAAAACATTGACACGGACGACGACGAACGACGACTGACAATCAATAATATGATAAGCTCCGCTCGACAAAGTCAACAGCGGAGCTAAAAATTGACAAAATTAACAAACCATACTTTTTTATCTGGATTTTGTCAACCAACCAACATGTGTGATGAAAATAAATTGAGTGCTTACCATCGAATCGTAGTCGCAGTGCGTGGCACAATGCCAATATCGTCTTCAGATCACCACCAACGATATCTAACAACAAAAACAATCAGATCAATACAAGCAGCAGTCAAAAACACATGCACTTTGATTTTTTCAGATGTTTTATTTCATAGTTTCTTCTAAAGTCAGTTCTCTTAGTCAAATAATCCGGACTAGTGACCGTGGTCTCCCCACACTCAGGGGACTATAAGTATCATACCACAAGATTTGAACGTTTAAGTCTACGATTTCACCTGAAGCATGCATGTCAGTTATATAAACTCCTCGGTCACAAAGAAATTGTATACATCCTGCAATATTCTCCATCTTCTGAAATCTCATCACAGGGTTGTCATGGTGATATTCTGGCACCTCACAAGCTATAAGTAAATCAGAACAGAATGACATGTAAGTATGTGCATCTTAAACTGTACATGTTTAGAAAGTATGGGTGCTGCCAACAGTTTCTGTATCACATGATATGTTTGTCTAACAGTTTTCTGTCTCATTTGGTAATCATGCAATAATCATTAATTTTTTCACCACCAGTTTCTTTTTCAAATTTACAAAATAATCCCATTTGTAGTCTGCACTTGTCGTCAGAAGATTGTGACAAAAATGGCCACATTTTTTGAGTAAAAACTGAAAATTTACTCACATTTTTTCTGTTGGCTTCAAAATTAAGGTTTATATCCAGAAATTTTGAAGAATATAAGCAGAAAAATTTGGGTGAGAAGGTGTGGTAGTGAAAAACATCCTCCAAATATCAATCTATATCACATTTATTTGAATTTGATTTGAAACCTGCAAAATTTGCATACTTTTAGGTTTCTAACAGTTTTGGTCATGAACGGATTTAGATGAACCTCAATTTTTTTTGCCATAATTAACAGAACATATCACATGCACTTTAAACCTGTGTGTGATCTTTTACCAATTGGTGAATTTCCGTTCAACTGTGATCTCGCCATACATGTACGTGTGAAAGACGCAAATTGAACGTCTGCCGCAAAAATCAAATGATTTGATTTGAATTTTTCTGCTCATCTTTCAGAGAGGAATATGGTGTTGAGATATCAGTACTTCGGCAGAATAAGGCCAGACTTTTTTTATTCCTTGTTTCTCGAGTTTTTATAAGGCATTTTTTTGAGGAGGGCGGAAAAAAAATAAAATTAAATCTTTTTTTCCATTAGATTTATGTGATTCTGAAAGAATTGTAAGTGAGATCATTGATCGGAGAGAAGAAATGAAATAAAATTTTATTCCATGTAAAACCTTGTTTCTCATCCGTGCGAGACTTCGGTATTTTGATCATGATACTCCCATGAAAATGCAACTTGGGTTTGTTATGCGGCGGGCGAAAAAAAATGAAGATAAAAATAATTTTTTTTCAGCAATTTTTTGCACTTACAAGAAATTACGCTGAAATAAAAAATTTGTTTTACTTTATTTTCGGCTCCTGTTCATTCGGCGGGTTTGCGAAACAAGAGATAATAATAGTCTGGCCTAAATGATCATCAAATGTGTACCGTATTAATTACATTAACGTGGAAATCCAAAAAAATACTTTTAGCATATGTTGAATCCAATGCAGTGTTTTGAAGCCACCTTTGTTTTTCCTGTTTTTATGTTCGAGTTCAAGCTTAATATAGAATCTTGCAGTGAGCAGGAAATGGTAGTCATGATGATACACAGTCAAATCTGTGCATAGCAACCACCTACGGGACCTTTTTACAATGGTCTTTCTAGATAGGTGGTTTTAACCTTATATGGAGGTTAAAACTTTTACATTTGTTTGTCCAGTAGGTAGTGAGATGCTTACACATTTATTTGACTAGAAGAAAATAAATATTACTTTATAAACAGAACGCTGATTATTATTTTGGTGTCTAAACAAAGGTGAATCTACAGTAATATTGCTGAAAGGGATGCCACATAAGACAGGTGGTCTTTATACACACGTTGCTCAAATGTTATGCTTTGGGACTGCGGCACTATAGAAATAGGTTTGACTGTAGTATCCTACTATGAACCTTCAATGATTATGGTTTGCAAAACAATGAGAAATCATTG